TCAGGTAACATTTTTGGGTTGTCAAAGAAACCCAAAATGTCACCCTAAAATTAAAAAAAACAGTGCTGCAAGCAGGCCTTTTTGAAGACAGAAGAGAAGCAGAGAGTGCAGGAGGGGGGAACGACACTGAAGGTGATTGGTGGGAGGAGTAAAAAGGGAGTCGGTGGGGCCATCAGACAGGGGAAGAAAAGACTGAGTGGGCAGCGAGGCAAGGAGATGGGCAGGAAAGGAGATCAAGTGGGTGCTTACCTGGCAGAGCTCATTAAGAAAAAAAGTGTGGGGGGAAGAGGAAACAGAGTCAGGGCGAGGGGGGAGGGGGACTGGCAAGCAGAGGTGGAGAAAGAGGGGAGCAGAGGCCACGGGGGCGGGCGGGGGAAAGGGGTCTCTCCACCCTGCCAAGCCCTTGCCAGCTACCCATCTCTCCTTTCCACTGTGCTTCAGTACATTAATGTAACTCCTTTGAGATGCAGCCTTGACAACTACTTTTGCAGCATTCCAGAAGTACTCTTACTGAAGTTAATTGTTAAACCACTGTTTACGAACCAGTCAAGGAGTCTGCCATTATAACATGCAACTGGCTCTTTGCAAATGTCACTCAAAAAACATTTTTAGAACCCACAACAGCAACAAGGCTTTTGGCTTCACTGATGCTGTTGCTAAGGTACACATAGGCCCCGGTCACACGGGAGGCTTTGATCCAAGAGAGGGGCGGATCGGGGGCGCAGCAAGCGGGCGTGATCACACCGCAACATCTGGGAAGCGGCGCGCACCCGTCCCCGATCCGTCTCTTCCGGCCAAAGATGCGGATCAAAAAAACCCCTACAAAACACTACTACTTACCTGGAAATCCACAGCAGGGCGGCTGTGGGATCGCCGGCGCATTCGTCTCCGGCAGCATGCGAGGCCCCCGGTCAAGTTGCGCAGGTGCGCACATGCACAGTGGGCTGCCTCGCTCACTGATCTGTGGCTTCCCCCCGGCATCTGATCATGCCGGGGAGCAACTGTGCGGTGGCTCAGGGGATCTGTCTGATCCCGCCACCGCGCATCTCTTTTAATGCGGCTCAAAAAAGCCGCACTTCAGCCGCACCTTTTCCCCCAGTGTGACCGGGGCCACTGTTGATTTCAAAGTGCACAAGAACGGTAAGACAAAAGCCCTTTTCGCACTCTCTTTTTAATCCATGTTCACCGCGGTGTCTTCCAAGTAATTCTGCACTAAAATTGAATGCAACCTTCGTTTTATTCCGTTCCCCCCCCCCCCCCATTTTCATTTAACCCCCCCCCTTCAGCGATCGGCCCCAGTTCCCGCCCGCTGTTGGGATGTTGCTTTGCCACAGACTTAAATCACCTCAACCCAAACCCAGAAAATCCGGTGCGGCAGGCAAAGGTGGGAAGGACCAAAGAGAGCTCACCTGATGTCCTCCTCGTTTTCTGGGAAGCTCCAAAAGGCAATCCGAAGCTGCAGCTGTTCAGGCACGGGAGGGTAGACTTTTTCCACCACCTCAAACGGAATGTGAAACGCCACCTGCTTGGCAGACAGCTCCACCAGTGGGATCACCAGCCCATCTAATGACACAAGCACAAGGCAGGAGATCAAGACAACGGAGTCACGCAGAAAGCAAACAGAAGCTGTACCAAAGCAAAGCAGAAACTGAAGTAAAAGATGCCACGTGCGGTCTTCTGCTCTCACACGCAGGCAATGCTCTTCTCCACCTTCCAGCGGCACCCGCACGTCCCACAAGAAGCTGCAGGAGCCGAAGGGCCCCATGGAACAGACTCCCAAGAGAGGCAAAGGGCTGCTGCCCAAAAGAAATGCTGCTCCTTTTCTCCTCTCTGCACACCTGTAGACAACAGGGTTTGGATACCAGCCAGTGTGCTGCCATATTTATTGTCTCATCTATGCATCACCTCAAGGGAAACATCTGTCTGAACAGCGGAATCAAATAATCCGTCCCAGTGACTTGGGAACCCTTCGGGATAAATACACAACTCACAAAGTTGCCACAGGTGGAGGGGTGTGTTTGCAATGCCTCTTGCGCAGCGTGTCATCTTGGGAGTCTAAGTATTATTTGTTCAAATTGCAGCCGTCTTTTATTGGGAGGGTGAGATACAGCCACCTCAGATTATTGATATATCCACAGTATAGAGGATTATACCGTGATCTCCATCCTCTGTCTGGAGGAGGCCTGAAAGCACAACAAGGGGGAACAATATGGCTCCCACTACGGAGGCCCCCGTGTCACTCTCCAGCGAAGTCCACCAGCAAAGTCCACCAACCCAACTCCCTACTGACACTGAAGAAAGATGCACACAGCTAATTTTCACTGGTTTTAGATTAGACAAGGGGCGGGACCCACAATACTCGCAGGGGGGGGGGAGCTCCACACTTATCACGCAGAGGAGGAAGCAGCAGGAGGTGGTAAGTCCCCCCCATCCCACTGGTTCCCCCCCTCTCCTCCA